GGCCCACCACAAGTACTTCATCGACAACGAGATGCTGCTGGTGCTGGCGCAGATGGACCGTCCCTCCCGCGTCTTCCCACACCTCTACCTGGTGGGCAGCGGGGCGGGCAGGGCGGGCAGGGCGGGCAGGGGTGTCCCCCCCCCCCACCGCTGCCACCACGCAGGGCTCCGAGTGGAACGCGGCCAACCTGGAGGAGCTGCAGCAGAACCGGTGAGCGTGAGGTGGCACGGGGTGGTCTGGGGTGGCATGGTGGGGTGGCATGGGGTCATCCGGTGTGTGACAGTGGGGTGGGCACAGAGCCATCGTGGGGTGACACGGTGGGGTGGCACGGGGTCATCTGGGGTGGTATGGGATCATCTGGGGTGACATGGTGGGGTGGCATGGGGTCATCTGGGGTGGTATGGGATCATCTGGGGTGACATGGTGGGGTGGCACGGGGTCATCTGGGGTGGCATGGGGTCATCTGGGGTGGTATGGGATCATCTGGGGTGACATGGTGGGGTGGCACGGGGTCATCTGGGGTGGTATGGGATCATCTGGGGTGACATGGTGGGGTGGCACGGGGTCATCTGGGGTGGTATGGGGTCATCTGGGGTGACATGGTGGGGTGGCACGGGGTCATCTGGGGTGGTATGGGATCATCTGGGGTGGCAAGAGGGGATGGCATGGGGTCATCTGGTGTTGCATGGGGTCGTCTAGGGTGGCATAGGGCCATCACAGGGTGTCACAGTGGGTGGTACGGGGTCATCTGGGGTGTCCCAGTAGGGTAGACAGAGAGCCATCATGGGGTGGCATGGTGGGGTGGCACCGGGTCATCTGGAGTGTCATGATGGGGTGGGCATAGGGCAATCATGGGGTGGCATGGGGTCATCTGGAGTGACATGCTGGGGTGGCACAGGGTCATCTGGGGTGTCCCAGTGGGGTAGGGACAGGGTCATCATGGAGTGTCATGGTGGTGCAGGTATGAGGTCATCATGAGATGGCCCAGTGGGGTGGGCACGGGGTCATCAGAGGACACCGATGGGGTGGGCATGGGGTCATTGTGGGACACCCTTTGGGGTCTTTGTAGGGCACCCAGCAGGGTGGACATGGGGTCATTGTGGGACACTTGGCAGGGTGGGTGCAGCAGGTCTGTGGCCCTGCGGTGAGGTGGGCATGGGGCACTGTGGGGCACCCCACAGAGCACGGGCAGACCCCCAACCCAGCGGGGCGGCTGTGCCCCCTGCCCGCGTCACCGTAGGGTCACCCACATCCTGAACGTGGCGCGGGAGATCGACAACTTCTTCCCGGCGCTGTTCACCTACATGAACGTGCGAGTGTACGATGAGGAGACGGCGCAGCTCCTGCCCCACTGGAATGACACCTTCCCCTTCCTCTCCCGCGTC